GGTACAACACAAAAAGCTTTAATCGGATAATTTGGAGTTTGCTGCTTTTGATATTAGACCCCTGATATATGAAAACTTACTACATATAAAGAGCAACACATATTTATTTAATACACCTTCTCAAATCCACTCATACCATACAAGAGGGAAAGATGCATTAATCCTACCTCGCTGTAGGATTAATAAATCTAAAATACTGGGTGTAAATTACTTCAATGCATTACTAGAAAGGATGTGGGCACTCCCTGTTAGAAAATATAAACAAAAAATTGAAACTCTTATGATTGATATGTGCATGTATAATTTAATGGATTATTTTGAAGCAATTAAGCATGCTGACTAGGGTAACTATGTAACACATTCTGAGATATTTTAATACTGGTCTAATAAATTAAATTAATTTTAGTCCTGGGCTGTAATCAATGAACTACGAGCCCCTTCCCATTTCAGTTGGCCCACCTATTAACATTTTCTTTATATAACGACAATAAGAAAGTATTAAAGATTACATGCTTTTTTAAATCATAAATTAATTAACAATGATTTAATTTAGAATTATATTAGAACTAGAAAACATCAATTTTTTTATTTATTTTTAAATTTATTAACACATGGAGCATTATTGCATTATTTCAACTTGAATTCAATGCGTTAGAAAATAAACCAAAATCGAAGGTAGCTTTGAAAAAATAACAAACAATAATGCAAATAACTGTCACAAGACAATTTAACCTCTTTTAAGCTAATTCTGTCTAATAAAATGGGTAGAGGAAAAATCATTGACGAAAAAATACGTTTTCTTGTTATAAAACATTGCAATTCTGGAAAATCGAACTCGGAAATTGCAAATATATTAGATTTATCACGATATACGAGGATATATCAGTATATAACGAGACTGGTGCTATAACTTCTTTCAGAGGTAACCTTTTATAACCCAAAAAATGAGACATGAAAGCCTTATATTTAATGTACTACCCCGCAAGTAGGCTTTGATTTAACTTTTGACATTTGTTACAAATTAATTATTGAATTGTCAGTGTTTTGCGTACCCATCGAAAAATGAAAGTGGAGCAAAGATACGCGATAAAATTTTGTGTTCGATTGGGTAAAACACCAACTGAAACTTTTGAAATGATTAAAGGTGCATATCTAGATAATAGTTTATCACGATGTAGAGTGTTTGAGTGGCATAAAAAGTTTAAAGACGGTTGTGAATCAGTTGAAGATGAACCTCGTCCCGGTCGACCACAAACTGCGAGAAATGACACATAAATTGCAGAAATTAACGACTTGATACAAAATGATCGCCGGATTGGCATAAAACGAATTTCTGACAATGTTAATTTGTCTTACGGTACCACTCAAAAAATTATTCATGAAGATTTAGAGTATCGGAAGATCGCGGCAAGATGGATTCCAAAATTGATGACCGATGAACAAAAAGCGAATCGAGTGACAATTTGTCAGCAGTGGAAAAGGCAATTGAAACGTAACCCACAGTTTTTAAATAATGTGGTTACATGTGACGAAAGTTGGTTTTATCATTACGATTCTGAATTGAAGTCTCAAAGTATGCAATGGAAGCATAAAGGCAGCCTAAGACCGCAGAAGGCCAAAACTGCTAAAAGCGCTGGTAAAGTGATGCACCTGATTTTTTTTGATAAATTTGGCGTTATTTACGATCACATTGTACCTAGAGGACATACAGTAACAGGGGAGTACTATTCTAATGTGCTTCGAGGACCCTTAAAGGCAAAATTAAAGAAAAAAAGGCCGCTTTATCAGGACTTTGGCTGTACGCTGCATCACGACAATGCTCCGGCTCATAGATCAATGATTTGTCAACGAACAATTGAAGAATTAGGGGTTGAAATTATGGTTCATCCCCCCTACTCTCCTGACCTTGCTCCATGTGACTTCCATTTGTTTCCTGAAGTCAAAAAAGAATTGAGAGGTAGAAGATTTGAGTCGGATTTAGAGCTCAACAACGCTGTGATGGGTATACTAAACAGACTATCAAAAAATTGTTTCTCAGAAGTTTATGATAAGTGGATAAAGCGATGGGATAAGTGTATTCAACAGAATGGAGAGTACTTCGAAGGATAGTTGTTGAACTTTTTTAAATAAATGTTTCGTTTTTATACTATAGCACCAGTCTCGTTATTTTCTGATACATCCTCGTAGTGTAAGAAATATAGTTAGAAGATACAAAACTACTGGTTCAATCAGCCCAAAGCCCCGTCATGTTAGAAAAAGCAAGATTACAAATGCCGATAGACGAGCATTGAGAAGAATTATTGAAACTAACCGTCGTGCTAATTACCTTGAATTAAGTGCTCAGTGGAGTGATGCTGTTGGAAGACGAATTTCGAGATCTTCATGTCATAGAGAAGCTCGCAAATTGGGATTTGGGACTAACAAAGTAAGTTTATAATAATAAAAACAATAAAAAACATGGATTGAAGACACTAAAACAATCAAATATGTTTGCTTAAAATTGACAATTTTGTTACAGGTTAAAGAAAAACCACTACTAACTGCGAAACAGAAAAAAAATCGATTAAGATGGTCAAAAGAACATATGAGTTGGACTTATCATCAATGGGATGCAATACAATGGAGTGACGAGGCCCGATTCGAAGTTTGTGCTGGAGATAGCAGAAGTCGAGTTATTCGCAAAAACATGAAGCGTTCCATCCAGACTATCTCAAAAGAAAAGTAAAATTTCCCGCATCGGTCATGGTCTGGGGCAGCATGTCATCTAAAGGAATAGGGAAATTGCATTTTATTGAAGGAATTGTAAATACAAATAAATATTTGGACATTTTGGAGGAATCACTTTTACCGACTATGGAATTATATTTGACATCAGGGAAAGATTTTGTATTTCAACAGGATGGAGCAGGGTGTCACACGTCAAAAAAAGCTCTAAAATGGATGGAAGACTTCGGTGTTCCACTTTTGAAATGGGTTTCTAGTAGTCCTGATTTATCACCAATAGAAACATTGTGGCATGAGATGAGAAAGGTACTTCGAAAACATCCTGCAAGAACAATACCTGAACTTAAACAAAAACTTCAAGATATATGGGATTCATTTACACCAGAATTTTGCCAAGGCTTAGTTAATACCATGCCCCAAAGAATTTCAGCTGTAATAAAAAATAAAGGTGACGTTACTCAATGGTAAACTTTAAAATTGATTAACGTTTGATTCCAACTATTTGTTTATTTTTTTTTTAATTTTATATTAAATAAATATTTTAATGTTTTCTACATATTTTTTATGATTAAACGATATTAAACATATTGTTCAATGAATAAAAATTGGAAAGTTCATGCAATATTTATATTTTTAATCTTTAAATACGAATTTCCTAAATTTCAATAGGTGGGCCAACTGAAATGGGAAGGGGCTCGTACTATAAATTATTGCTATGATACAGATATGTATATGTATGTGTATATATATATGCATTGTATGTTTTCTTTTTTCTTTATTTTTTTTTTTTTTGATGTACGTGAACGTCTAACGTATGTAACACTGAATAAAAATTATTATTGTTTTGAGAAAATTGAGTTTTAAATTTGTTTTAAATCTGTCAAATATAAATAAAAAAAATTAATTAAATATAAATATTACGAAAAATAGCGTCGTCATCTTTCAGATTAAAGGTAAAAAAATTGATATGTACTTATACATACAAGCATAAGCATCTTACAATTAATATATCGAACAAAACTATCACACATAGTATAACTTCTAAATGACTGAGACTACTGACAAAAATGTCAACTCACATTTTGCATATAATCTTTTCTCAAAAACATATAATTTGTTACCATTACATATTAGAGAAATTTGAAAGTATAAAAAATTTTCATATAAAAGTAAATTGTACATTAACGACAATTATCACCAGTTTGTGGGGATGTTGGAGTGAAGAGCTGCTTTACCCTGGGGAAATGGTAAAGGTTATGAATATATTAAAATTAATATTGATTATAAGGGTAGGTATTGATGTCCCATTTTTTCATTTTCGTCTTATTTTTGTATATTTATCTATGTTCAAATTTTAATTTTATTTTTATCATAATCATTAATTATTTTTTTCTCTTTCTCATAATTATTATATAATTACATAAAGAAAGATAATGCACAGACAAGTCACTCACTTAAATTGCAAGTTATATATTAAATTGTAAAGAAGAATTAAATTAAATAAATAAATAAAATTAATGTTGCTAGTATCCTTGTTAACAGATGTTTTGAGCTAAAACAGTAATTTTACAACAAATTGTGGCTTGCATCCTTTTTACATCAAGAAATTGTTTAGCAATAATTAATATGAATTCAGACAGTGATAAATTTGATGTAGGCAGATGGACTTCGGTCGATAGCCTATTGGACTGAATTTTCAGTTCAATAAATGACAATTATTATTATTTATAAATTTGATTCTGAAACTTTCATTGAAGAATTTTCCATACAAGCAAGAAAAAAAAATTATTTTGATATTGTATGTAAGTTCCAGGCCTATGCTTGCCATTAATTTTTTTATTATATTTTTGTTCTGTGTTTAATTCTTGTGATGATTAGAGTTTAGTTCCATTTTTGTTTATATTTTGTTTTGATTATTTATTTATATGTAAAAATGTAATCTTTTTTATTTTCTATTTGGATGTTTTTAGGTCTGTAAGGGGTGCTCAGACATTTAGTGCCTCAGGGCACCTTGGTCCCTAAATCCGCTACTGGTCTTAAATATAAATTGCTTTTATGTAGATATATCACACACATGTTGTTACACCGGATGTGCGATATATGAAGTATTTCAATTAATCAGATGTCAGTATGTAATAATGTCAGCATAAACTGTATTTTATAGCATGTTGTTAAAATATTTTTTACAACCTTTAGAAGTAGTTACTATACATGCACAGCAGTGTTTGCAAATTATTAAATACTTAATAACTCCGTAAAATGTGTTTAGGACTTACCAAAAGGTGCCCAGTCACACCAATCATTTGGTTCATTTGGTTCTGGTGGTTTTAAGTCACTACAATTCCTATGTAACACTGCTTTCACAACTGAAATGGGCTTTCTTGATAAATGATAGCACATATAAGCGATATAAGTTAAAAACACCACACTTGCTCGATAACTAAAACAAAAGTTTGTAATTAGAACACAACAAGAAAAAATATTTTAGTTCAATAAAAAAAAGAGAACGTACCATTTTTCTCTATTAAAATGAAGTCTTGGACAGCACTTGTCAGTCAGTTTTTGTAAAAATCTCACACCCCAAGGTACCTCTGAATATAAACTCATTTTAAGTTTCTTGATGGAGGATTTGAGTTGGTACCGGTGTAAAAAATTCATAAACTTAACAAACCTTGAATAAAACATTAAGTTATAAAATTTCAAAGTACAATTAATCAAATAAAGGTAAACAATAAAAAACATACCTTAAGATTTTGTTAAAGTTTCCTAAACTTGTGCATATTTGTTATGTATTTTAAATTACAAAAAAAATAAATATTAAGGCTCTAAGCGACCTTTTTGCAATTCAAAACAAATAAAAAAGCACACAAAGGTACTACAAAAACAAAGTGATGACATGTAACATGTAATCGCTCACTACACGAATAATAATCATTTTAAGACTTGGGCCTTGGGGGAGGTTATGAATTTATATTCAGGGTTGCCAAATATCAGAAGCACTAATTGTGATTCTAGAAAATTTTTATGAATCAGATCGTTGTGTTTAAAATACAGTATCGTTTAGTGTTTTTAAATTATGCTTTAACCACAGACCTTTTATATGCTTTAAATTCCAATTTCGTATTTCGTCTGTATTCGTCATAAATTATTTAAAATAAATATAATTTTCATATTTCAGATTTTGCTTAATTCTTGGCAACACAGGCCATGTGTTTAAGCTGTTTAACAATGCACCTGCATTATAGGCAATACTTATTACTTGCTGAATAATGTGTACAGGATGTCGCCCGTATATTCGTAGTCTTGGACTTAAAAAAAAAAAAATGTAAGTTGATTTCAAATTAATTAATTAAAAACATCAATGTTATTATATTATTATTGTAAATTAATTAATTAATTAGTCAAGTATGTAATTAATTAATTAAATCAAAGAATGCACCAAATGGGAAGGTAAAATTGTGTTCCTTAAATTCGTTGAATTGGAAAAATAGAAAATATTTTTTCAAATATAAATACGAATAAATAAAAAGTTTTAGTAATAAAAAAAAATATTCCTCATATTATTGCCTCCTGTGAGGATTGAACTCACGACCCCTGGTTTACAAGACCAGTGCTCTGCCACTGAGCTAAAGAGGCTGTATGTAATGATTTGAAAATTGATATAATATTCCGTGGGTCATATTTATGATTAAAGTTTTTTAGAAAATTTTAAAGCCTAATTAAATTGTTCATTTATTTTAAACGCTTTAAATAATATAATCATTTCAAATGTAACCATTCCAAGTTTCATATATCATTAATATTGCTGGACTTAGTAAATTTAATATTGTGATATTGGCAACACCCAATTCATAATTGACACTGACAGATAAAAATAACAAACTACGAGATGAGGAAAAGTGAGGTTAGGATATAGTTGAAGTGAAGTTGTTTTCAAAGTTTCTTTTATTATTTAATAATTTATTGGATGGCTAAGTAACCTAATTTCAATATGGCAGATAGACTTACACAATTACAGGACTGCATTAATAAAGTAAGCTTCTAATTTTTTTTTATATATATATAAAAGTTTGTGTAGAATTATTTATAAACTAGGGGTGTCTGTAAATAATTACAATTATGATTAGGCTGACCTAGGTTTTAGATTATACTTACAATTTTGCAGAACTCACTTAGATCCATGCTTCTATTAAAGATTTGTCTGGGTCAGTATATTCTGATATTCGATTAAAAATTGGTCTAAAAATTAATAGGGGAACCAAATCTAATGAATTTTTTTATGTTAGATGCAATAGACAAAATTACGGCTTTTATAGTCCATTAACACGATTGGTTAGGAGCACTTACAGTATAGAAACAGACTTAGATTTTTTGGTTCATCATATCCTTCATTCAAAAGAAGTATTACTAACCACTTTCTTAATAACACTTGAGAGTACTGTTCAAGGAACTGTTACTGTATTTCTTATTAATAAAATATTTTACAGGTCATAATTTTTTTCTGTTTCACTTAGTATTTTTGCATATATTACATATATTTTTTGCTTGTTGTAAAATGACATTTTTCGTAAATGAATAATTCATATTTATTTTAGCAAGCAGAACATTTCTGCAACAGTATTGGAATACTCCAGCAATTTGCTGCACCAAGCAAATTTCCCAATTTTGATAGAAGTGGTTCTCAAACACCTCAGCAACAACAAAATCAAGAAGATTATGTACAACTGTTTACAACACTAATTGCCAGATGTGCAAAAGATATTGATACATTAATTGAGTCTCTTCCAAGTGAGGAGAACTCAACAGAACTTCAGGTAATACATTTATTTATCAACGAGCAATTGCCCAATTAAAATACAAGTTTAATAAAAGGGAAAATTTAAAACCTAACCCACATTTAGAGAATGTTGAAACAAAGAAACACAAATTACCATAAAATTAACATAAACAAGAAAAAATTAAATATTAAAAAAAATAAGATAATAATTGTAAATAATTTAAATTAAATTATCTAGACAACAAAATATCACATACATGATTTAAGCTGAGATTTAAAGACTTTTTTATTATCAAAGCAGTCCAATCTATCAGAATACTGATTAGCAAATCTATCCGATCTTGACAGAAAAGAATTATGTCTGTAGTTAGTCCGATGTTGTCTAATATTAAAGGGCTCAATAAGCCTTGTTTGTCTAGAAGGAACATGAATATTGATTTTTCCCAATAGCTCTGGACTAAAGCTATACAAGTGCAGTATATAACTAATCTAAATGGGTTCTCACAAGTGAACATAACTTGAGATACCGATTCCAAAGGGCAACCATTAATATTGTAGATTATTTGTTCTGTGGGACTTCTGTTACGACTGAAGACCATTTGATGGCACTTTTTAACATTAAGTTCCATTCCATTGATTTCACTCCAGTTGCTGAGACGAATTAAATCAGCTTGCAGTTTTATGTAATCAGCTTCGTTTTTTATTCTCATATATAATTTTAAATCATCTGCAATCATTAGGAATAGGGCAAAAACAAAACAGGATAAAATATCATTCACATGTAAATTAAATGGAAGATGGCCCAAGTGTAAACCTTGGGGTACACCTGATGATACTTTAATTCGTATTGATTGGAAACCCTGAATATGCACTATCTGTATTCTTTCAGTATGGTAAGAAGATAGCCCTTCAAGCAGTTCCCCCTGAATTCCCAAATTCCCCTAATCTTGGTCGTATTCTCGATTTGATCTTTGTGAAAGTCCATTGCTTAATGTTGACAAATTTCACTCTCCTGTCAAGTTATCCATCGATCTGTCAAAATATGTTCCATTAAAATCCAATTCTTGCAATAGTACTGTGTATATATTCAAAGACGCTAATTTTAAAAAACTTAATAACTTTTACAACCAGGTGGACTGGAAGTCAGTCAATAAAGCTCCAAACATTGAGGGCAGTTGAAAAATTTTATGACATTTTGTTTCAAGGCATCAATCAATTTGTCCCAAAAAAGGCTATAAAAAACATTAAATATCCAAAATGGTTTGACAGTGAACTTAGAAAATGTATTGCCTCCAAAAATAGACTATATAAAAATATAAGCACTCTGGTGTGAGTAGTGACTACCAGTTATATTCTAATGCACTGCGGGAAGTAAAGTACCGCACTGATTTATGTTATCTTATCTTCGTTTCTAATATGGAACACCTTATTCCTAATAATATCAAGCACTTCTGGTCAACCTTTTCATAGAACAAATTATGGTTCTCACTCTTTTATTCCTAGAGCAACAAGATCTGCTAACAGACTAAATCTAGAATGGATTACTTCTCCATCAAATTTTTCTATCCATTTATGTATATGTGAGGAGTAATTTTTAATTGTTTTTAATATTTATGTATTTAAATTAATTTATTATTATTATTATTATTATTCAGGATTTTATTACTATTTAATGTATGTAATATGTATTATCTGTAATTGTATTGTTTTAATGGGCTCTGACCCGTAAATAAATAAATAAATAAATAAATAAATATATATAAGAACTCTGCGTAAGGACTCATCAAACATTCCAAAATAAATGAAATCTAATGGCAAATTAATTTATGACCCTGAAGAAATAGTTGAGGCATTTGCCTCTCATTTTCAGTCCTGTTACATTAAAGACAATGTTGTTACCTCTTCTAACATAATTACTGTCATGAAAATTCTTAAAGCCTACCCTGTGTACGCACGCGACCTTCAGAAGGCAACCAACTCGTTTAAATAAATAAATTAGACTTTCGTCACATTACTAATTTCTCTAGTGTTTTCACTGAAAAAGAGTTCAACACTCACTTACTTCAGTCTCTAAAGGCCCTGGTCCGGATGGAATTCCTCCCATTTTCTTGAAAAATTGTCAATACTCACTTTCTACTCCTCTATGTCAATTATTCCAAAAAATATTTTGATGATGATTTCTTTCCCTAACGTTGGCAATATTCTAACTTAGGGCCAATATTTAAATCCGACGACAAATGTAATGTTTCAAACTATAGAGGAATCTCGATTAAATCCAGCATTCTTAAAGTCATAGAGGCTATAATACCAGATGAGTTATTTATGTCTTTTCGTCGTTACATTGCACCACAATAGCGATCAGCTACTACTAATCTTGCTGAGTATCAGCAGTTTTTTTTATCTGCAACAGATGATTGCAAACAAGTGCACTCTATCTACACTGATCTGTCTAAAGCTTTCCACAGCGTTTGCCATTCCTTGCTGTTAGATAAATTGAAGAGAATGGGTATTATCGGCAACTACCTTGAGTTTATTCGTTCCTATTTAACTGAACGTCATCAGAGAGTGAATTTATGTTGTTTCACATCTAGCGAAATTTTGGTACATTCAGGTGTGCCATACTTTTTATTAACAATGTAATAACTTGTTTCAATAACTCCAGTTGCCTCCTATATGCAATGACCTAAATTTTTTTTTCAATCGTCATGCCAATGACCTTTCAAACAATCAGATCTCAGCAATTTGGTTCAATGGTGCAAGGATAACTTGCTTAAACTGAATATCGATATAAAGTCGTAAGGTTCAATAAAACAGCTGAATCATTGTGCATGATTATGTCATTGCAGGTTCTGAACTAAATGTTGAACAAACTATAAATGATCTTGTTGTTATTTTTGACAGGGACCTATTGTTTATTCCTCATTTGGAACAAATTATAAATTTAGCCTTTTGACTGCTGGGCTTTGTCAAAAGGAACACCAAGCACATTTGACATGGCAGCTCTGAAGTCTCTACAACTGATTAGAAGCATTTTAGAATACTGCTCAGTGATTTGGGCACCTAACTACAATTGTCATATTGATAAATTAGAAAGAGTGTAAAATAAATTTTCGAAGTATCTACTATATAAACATAGGCTTCCATCGCAAAATATAGTTTACCAAACCAGAATTCTGTTGTGCGGACTTAAGAGTTTGGAATGCAGATGTCGAGAAGCATCGCTTGTTTTCCTGCATAAGTTATTGAACGGTTTGATTGATAGTGACAGCCTGGTACATTTTATTAGATTCCTTGTTCCTGCCAGACTTACTAGGCAGATTAAACTATTTTATGTAAATGCTCATAGAACTATGGACAGAATTTATTTGTAGACCGACTGATGTCCAATTACAATATATTTTTCAAATTATGACATTTTTAATATAGGTTTGTTTTCTTTAAAGTGTCAACTATTGACTTCATTTTTATACTGTGACAATTTTATTAATTTCTTTTTTATTTTAATTGATATTTTAAATGTACCTTTATGTATTTGTAGCGTACTGTAAACAAATAAATAAGCATCAACTTGACTTTTAGTGGGATTCTTAATTTCGATATGTCACATATAGAGATGCCTATCTTCGTTTCGACAGACTGTGATTCTTATGTAATGTCTCTCTATTCGATATGTAACATGTCGAGTTCTCACATAAGAATTGCTGTTATCTCTTTGACAGGGTTGGTCAGACTTAGTATTTTTCTTTGTAAATTTGAGATTTTTCGCAATAAATTTAGTGCATTGGTAAAAAAATGGTCTTTTTGATGTAAGCTAGAAAATTTATTAAATCTAAAATATCGATATGAAATGATCTCAGATTTATAAGTATTGCTTTTTAGTTGCAAAGTTTGAGAATATTGGAACAAGAAAACCAAGAAGCTGCTGAAAGGCTTGAAGCAATTGTCAGAAATGGTCAAGAATTGCTTGAAAAAATCCAAGCTGCTCTCAGCGATATTGCACAGGCACAACTAGATATGCAACATCTTACAAAAACCATAACAGAGGGCAAAGAATGAATGACATTAGGGTATAATGTAATACATACATGTATTATCTTTTTAGTACTTAAGTTTTATAACAATTTTTGCATGATATTAAATTATTTGTTTATACTTGAAGTAGTTGTTATTTCCAAAAGGATTAAGTAAGGGAAATCAGTAAAAAAACACAGATTACATACATTTTTATATTCTCTCCTTCAGAATTTTCATTTAAAAACAATATTAACAATAATTATCATTACTATTTACAGGTATATATATGTACAAATAAAAAAAAAAACTTAATTTAAAAGTCCACAAATATTCTTCCTTTACTATACACTCTTATTTTCTAAAAATGTTTATCCTAAAAATTCAAGTAGTCCTTGTTGAAAAAATCACCACTATTTTACATAATATGTACATCAAAGACTGGAAAAGCGCGCCTGACAATGTTGCAGGTAAATAAATACTTAAGTTATCTAATTGTAGGGTGGTTCAAAATGATTTACTATATTTCATAATGTTTCAATTTGTGTTAAGACATGCAAACAAGTTTCAAATAAAAGTTACATGAATTTGAAAATATTTTTGGGTATACAGGGTGTTACGTTTTTGCCTGGCAAATGAAAATGTATATTTTTTTGAATGGAACACCCTGTATTTTATTTCAATTTTAGATTGGTCTGGTAATACTGTATTCAAACCTAGAATGTTTTTAAAAAATATTACAGGGTTGCCAAGTAATTAATTTTTTTATGAAATTAGAGAATGATGCAAACCCCAAATTAAATTATCATAATTTAGGTAGGTTGGCAATGATTTCAAAATTGTTTAAAATACTTATAAGATACCAAGCTAACGAATAGTGGTGATAGAATTTGTTTATTTTATACAGAGTGTCTTGAAACATGTCTTAAATATGGCTAATTTTAAGTTCAATTGACTCATTCTTTTCAAATACAACACTATGTGTATATTATTTTAGAATAAAATTCCTTATAAATTAACACATCCAACAATAGCAACAGGTTACCCAATTACACATATGCAGGGTGTCCCACTTGTGCGTAATTGATCTATAGCTGTTTTATTATTGGAAATACGAAGAATTTGTTTATAAAAGTTGTATGGTCATATTTAACAATTATAAATATACAGGGTGGTTCATAAACGAGAGGCTGACCAAACTTATACTTTTTAAAGCAAGCACCCTGTAGGTAGTTACACATATATTTGTTTTCACGTCGTCAAACAATTTTAATAGACTTTGCTATGTTGTATACAGGGTGTGTCAAAACTCAGTTTCGATTTTCTAAATTTTTAAATGGAATACCCTGTATGTTATACTACCAATTAATTAATTAATTATTTTTTTTGCATTTCTTATACCAAAACACATTTTTGTGACGCGGGGAGAACAGAAAACCGTTAATTATTTTTGAAAAATGGGTTAATAAAAATTGTATGTGTTTGTCCTTTTGTTTTTAATTGTCTTAAAGCGGCCCACAAACGGTCAATATTATTGCGCAATATTTCATATTGTGCAGTAATATTGACCGTTTATGGTTTATATTGAAAGGTGGCACAATATATTGTGTCAATCAAAATCGGTTTGATTTTTATTGTGCTATAGTGAATAGTTTGTATGGTGTGTGGATAATATTGCGCAATTTTTGTGTTTAGTCTTGTTCTTACTGAACGAGTTTGTATCCATAACAAACATGGGTTCTAAAGCAAAATAGGAAGAAAGACAATTTATTTTAGAAGTTATCGAAGTGTACCAGTCCTTGCCTGCTTTATGGAATACAAATAGCAAAGAATATAGCAACAGGAATTAAAAAATATGACGAGTTGTTGCGGAAATATAAAGAGAAATATCCAGATGCTGATAGAAAACAATTGATAAGTAGGCTGAATTCGTTACGAACTAACTTCAGGAAAGAACTGAATAAAGTAAATAGTTCCGAACGTAATGGAGCAGGTACCAGTGACGTAGTAGAGCCAACATTATGACATTTCAACGAAATGAAGACTATGAGAGCGAGGATACAGAAGATAATACGAATATAAGTACTGAAAGAAAAACTAATTAAAAAATATCATCCATGCGTAAAAAGTTTCGAAAATCAGAAGGTTCACTCACTTGTAATTCGTTTAATAGATTTTCATGAGTATGCTGGTTTCTTTTCTTAAACCATTTTTTCATCCATTTGCTTCTAGGTTTTTTTTTCTTCTTTAAATAGTTAACCAAAACAATGGCAATAGCAGCTTATTTTTTCTTATTCATGTTGAACCAAAGCGCAAAACAAAACTAGTTATTGAGCAAATGTATTGTATCGTTTGAAGAAAATAGCAATATTATGGTGCAATATTTTGTGCAATAATATTGACCGTTTGTGGGCTGCTTTTTACCTGTAATTACCTAGATGTTTTAAACTCTGTAACTTAGAGCCACTGATGATTATAAAAACACAAAACATTTGTATTATCAGAAGAATTAAGTTGAAAATAGGATTGTTTTATTTGTAGTTCTGTAACTGGTCAGGGTTTCTAAAGCCAATTATAATTATAAAACTGTTAATTTTTATATGACCATCAATATCTTGAAAAAAAATGCGTTTGGGTATAGACAAAGCCTAACAAAATTAATTTATAAATTGGTATAACATGCAGGATATTACATTTGAAAATATCGTAATCTCGCATTTATATACATTTTAACAAATTAATGAAAATAGAAAACATTTTGGGAATTTTAAGTCTATTAAAATTGTTTAACGATATGAAAACAATCAAATCTGTTATTCCAATCGGTTAAATCCAAAAACGTATGTTTGGTTGGTTCCTCAATTATTTACTACCCTGTATATTTAATAATAGTGGTAAAATATCTATCGTCCTATATCCAATAATAAAACAGCTATTGATCATATACGCACTGATGTATAATTGGCTAATATGTTGCTATCGTTGGATAGATAAATTTATGAGGAATTTTATGCTAAAATATAAAGGGTGTTCCATTTGAACAAATTTAGTAAATTGAACTTAAAATTAGCTATATTTAAGACAAGTTAAAATAAACCAGTTCTATCACCACTATTTGTTAGCTTGGTACCTTATAAGTCTGTACTACAATTTTGAAATCATTGCTAACCTACCTAGATTAAGAAAATTTCATTTTGGGTCTGCATCATTCTGAAATTTCACAAATTTAATTATTTGCCTGGCAACCCTGGAATATTTTAGCATTATACCATTCTAAAACTGAAATAAAATACAGGAAATTCCATTTAAAAAACATTCATTTTTATTTGTTAGGCAAAAGCGTAACATTCTTTATATTCAAAAATATTTTTAAAATAGGCATTTTTATAATCCATATAACTTTTATTTGAAGCTTGATTGTGTGTTTGTAACACAAATTGATTTATCGAGCAATTACACATTAATGGGACACCCTGTATAATAAAATGTTTTCAATTTACATACGATCAAAATATGTTGTAAGGTATTGAAATATCTATTTAATTACAAGTATGGTGGCGTTTCAGGTGGGGTGTGATAACAGTATTGAAAATTGCAATGGGTCCATTCACTTTAATATGGGAATCACGATGAGTTTTTAAGAGATCTTTACTAAAATAATTTTTTTAAAAAATATAAATTAGAAACCACTCTAATAATTGAAAAATGAGTGAAAATAAATAAATTAATTAAAAAATAATGTATACCTTTCTCCAGGCAGGTGTCTGATACACTGAAATTGATGGAGAATAGTAATTCAGATAAATGGTAATTGGGCCTTGTTTCTTCTACTATATATTCTAACTGGCTCTGGTAAGAAATAGAGGTAGAGTCAAAATGGACAAAGAGAAAAACTTAAAATTTTAAACTTAAGCTTTAATCCATCCCGTGTTGAGCATATTATCATGATTTCTCTAAAATGGACTGTAATGCAGAAATTTGAGGAAAAGTGAAAATTTTTATTTTTAATTATGTTCGTTGCCAATGAAGATATGAAAAAAAGTTTCAAATAAAATGTGTGTGGAAAATTATTTACTTTAATTCATATTGTAAACACTTCTTGATTAAATAGGCCCCACTCAATATATTTGACAACTTTACATGTGTTGGACATAATGGATATTTGAACTTGTGTTAATCATATTTATAAAGATATTAATTCTTTTGTTTTGTAGTACTTTTGCCTAAAATATATTATAGTTGGGAGTAAGGGAATTCCAATTGGACGTAGTCATGCAGAAATGATCCAATCCACCCAAACCATATTTTGAGAAAAATGATGTTAAAATTAAATTCTTTACGCGACGGAAATAGAATATATAGCGAGTATTTATGATTTTCACTATTAATATCCTTCTAAATTGTTGGTTCGTTTCAGCAGAATATAATTTTGGACTGTAACATCGAAAAGCTACTCAAGACATTTCTGGTAGATTTATGGATTGGATCATTTCTGCACAACTACGTCCAATTAAAGTCTTTCAGTAAATCATTGTGTCAGAAAATCTCTAATAATTCTAATTTCCTTTACCCCCAACTGATAATAGCAAGGGGTTGCTCAATAATTTATATCATACTTTTCTGCATTTAGGTATGTAATTTACATGGTAAAACTTAATTTTTGTACAATTATTTACTAGTATTTTTAGATTTAATTAAACACTGCCCTTTTACTTTTCTGTCTGTATACTGTACAGGTAAGGAATGTATAGGAATCGTTATTTTTTTCGACTTCGATGTTTCAACGAATTTTTACGTTTTAAGGTCCCCTGAATCCGTTTCGACTATTTTCGCGATACTGTGTGTATCTGTATAAAAATTTAAAACTTAAGCTTTAATCCATCCTGCGATGAGCCTATTAGATTTTGGGCATAGTAGATTGGGGGGTACTTTACAAAGGGTCGTTTTTGTACTTTGTGAAATATTTTATTTTTTCGGTATTTTCATTGGCAATGAATATAAATAAAAAATGTTTCGAATAAGATGTGTGTGTAGAAGTGTGTATTGGCTTCATCCTCTAAACATTTACAGGGGTGATACAATAGGTTGTACAAAATAACCGGAAAAAGCCTGTAATAACTAAAACAGAAAAGTAATGTGTTGGGCACATCAGATTTTTTAAATTGTAGTACAGTTGAATATTACAAGATCATAATTTGTTTGCCAGACAATTTTTCCGGCAAACGTGGCAACATCTGTTTGAATTCGTACTTAGTAATGTCCTAGTTTCATAGACCAGTTGTTCTCGGTTCTAGAATTACATGCAACGTTGACACGTTGGTCAGAGAAAATATTTAGAAAACAAAATTATGGTGTATACTCGCCGCGCCGAAGAGATGCAGTAATCATCTGCACAACAGCCTAAAATGAGTGTCTAACTGCTGTCCGAAGATCCTCAACAATAGATGAGAAGCCAACGACTAGGCTAGTGTTTTAGTTTATCAGTTCAAAGCAGACCGTTGACCAAAAAATATATGCACGGTTCACCTCTGGTCTATAACCTGGTTAAAGGATGTTTCGAGGGCCCAGCCCTTAACACATGTTGATCACGCAGTTTTATTGCTGCATCTCTTTGGCGCGTCAACTATAGTAATAATAATTATTATAGTAATGTAATAATAATTTTATTATATCAACTAAAATTTAAAAAAAGGCAATACTTCTAGTTTTAAATCTGATATTACCAATTACATATAATTTTTCAAAAATGATATATTACCATGGATATTACTTATTTATATTATGAAACATGTGACAACCACGCCATGTTTAGTCATTAATAAATAGGAAGGGTAAAGAGAATAAGGGATATTCCGACACAATGATTCAATGAAAGAACGTGATGGGAATTCCCTTATTTCTAGTTAAAATATCTTAAAGACAAAAATACTACATCTGTAAGTTAAAAAATGAGGGTGAACGGACTTATTAACAATACTTTGTATTTTTAGAACATAGCCATCTTGAACATGAGTATCCATTTTTTTTAGTCCTTACATTTTAAAAGAATCCTATCATATATCACACTCCACCTGATATTTATAAAAAATTTCTTGTGCATTTGTGCATTTAATCAGAAACCTAAATTTAATCAGAACGAAAATATTCAAATATAATGTTCATTTTTGAAATAATAATTTTTAAGAAAAAATGGTTCTTTTTTTGTTTTATGTATTTTTATACTTATATATTTTTTTATTTGTTAAATTATTAATGCAAAATAGTTACATACTTTCTAAAACGATTTGTTTACAAAAAATGTGACGGTCAAAATTAGGCAGAATATTATTTATTTCAGCACCTTAATTATGATTTATCCATGAAAAACATATTCATTGATACATCCATTGCAAAATATATTTGATAATATAGCTTAGCTTTTTAGAAAACAATTACAACAATGGAAAGTTTTAAGCCAAAGAATTAAAAAAAGAATGTATAAATTCTTTTCCATTTAAAAAAATACCCTAAAAATAATTTTTACCTTCCAATACACAAATAATACCGCACTTTTCTTCCAGATTGTCTTTTAGTTCAGAGTGCCCCTACATTGCGGCGCTCCACACAAACATGGTATTTTCTCATCTTCTATGGGGAATTTGTAGTCATAGGTGATTTCCTCGTTAACGCCTATGCTCTGTTTGGAATATATCACAATTTTCTTGCGTGATTCTATCGTTATCACTTTTGCGTAGCAATTAGGCTGAACAAAAAAGATAAAAGTTTACGAAAAATAAAGTTTAGAGTAAATTAATGTATTAGCCAGGTTACTAATCGCAACGAAAAAAAAATATAGATTTTAAGAGTTGTATTCGTTAGATTGTATCACGAATCTAATAACCACGCAAGTTATAAGTATTAGGGATTTCAAACATTAAAAAGTATACTTACATTGCAGCTGTGGTTGATAAACCTGGCCAAGTTCCCGCATTTAGTGGCATCTATAATATTTTCTAGATCTATCCTAAACAAGTACGAACTTCCAATGCCCGTAGCCTCGTATTTCTGTTCTCTGAGATCTGCCACGCTGTGTCGTACCATCTGACCTACATATTCAATCACCTAAAATAAAAGAATGCAATAATTATCAAGGTACACACGTATTAATGTAATAATTGTCATTATTATTATTATTATTATTAGTAAAATATAAAGAATTACATGAAAATTCCAAAAAAATGTTTTGACTAAAAATTTAAATAGAAAACACATGTATTGAAATAAATCACACAATTAGGTTATTACACCATGTAAATGGATTACAATACACTAGAGAATTAACCAAGGTAATACATTAACAATAATTATCTTGTCACGTAAATTTTGGTTTAAAATAGACTGTCGATAGTTGAAAGAAGAGACTTGAGTAAGGGCTGCTGTCCGAAACTCTTGCTTCGGGACCGTAAGTTCTGAAGCACCTTAATCTGTAAAATTTTGTGCAGTAGTTTGTATGCAAGAGGTTTATCTTTAATTATTTTAATGTTTTTTGGTGTGTGTTTTGGTTTTGTTTTGAGACAATTAATGTTTGGTGCATAAACTGGAAAAACTGATTGATCAGCATGTCCGGCAAACCACAGAGGCCATTCCATACAAACCAACATGCCTATCAATCAGGAAAATCTTGTGAGTCTGCTCTGAATCATCTCGTAACCAAGATAGAGGGGGGACTCAGTAGCCAAGAAATAGTCCTAGGAGCATTTCTTGACATAGAAGGAAGGAGCTTTCTTTTGATATCTACTTTAAATCAATGGTAGGTGCCGCTTGTAAACATGGAATAGAAGACACCATCTGCTGGTGGATAAAAGACATGTTACGCGGACGGCAAGTACAGGCACAAATGTTCAGTGAAACCATGTAGGTGAATATCCACAGGGGATGCCCACAGGGTGGAATTATTCTCCTCTACTATGGAACCTAGTGGCAGATGAACTGCTGAAAACATTATCCTTATCCGAGGAAAACACCAAACCACAGTCTTTGAACTCATGCAAAGAGCTCTTGCGCTGACCGAAATGTGGTTCTTTAGGGAAAACCTCTTATTAAACCCTGACAAGGCACAACTCATAACCTTTACTCGGAAAACAAGGTTGGAGGTCTTATAAACTCGACTCTGGAGGAAGGCTAAAAAAACGAACCAAGTAAAATATCTGGGTCTAATCCTAGATAGCAAACTTACTTGGAACCAACACTTACAAAAAGTGGCCAACATTTGGAAAAACCAAAAACAAGACCCATGATAACTTATGGAGCGGTTGTTAGGCGGCCAAAAGTAAACCAGAAAACAGCCCTCAATACCCTCTTAGGAGTTCAGAGGCTGGCATGCCTTTGTATTACAGGAACACTGAGAAGTACACCGACAGCTTCTATGGAAATCATTCTAAACCTCCCACTCTTTGACCTAGTCATAAAGGGGGAGGCCAGAATGAGTGCATACAGATTGGAAATCTCCAACAACTGGAACCCACTGGGACATATAAAACCAGAATAACACATGAAGTAAATGATTCTATATTAAACATGGGATCAGATCACATTACGGGATGTAAGATGTAAGATTAGGAGGGATTCCTAATCTTCAACAGACTCTTCCAGGTCAACTGGAACGAGGTAAATAAGGAGATAGATAAATACTTGCTTAGCGGTCTCGTATGGTATACGGATGGATCTAAAACTAATAAGTGAACAGGTTCTGGCGTACATGAAATTAAACCCAAATGCGACATTATCGTCTCACTGGGAAAACATACCTCTGTATATTTCAGGCTGAAATACATGTAATCGAATTGTGTGTATGAGAGAATTTAAGAAGGAAGTACAAAAAACAAACCATCCTAATTCTCTCAGATAGCAGCCTTAACACTCTAAGCGCCGGTGTATCCTTTTCGATACACACTGTCAAAACCATTGTGTATCGAAAAAGATACATCCAACAAATTGTGTTCAAACATTTGTGTATCTTCCATACACACGGTTGTAATGCCTTTTATATGCAGAAAACCAAGCCTTGGCCTGGTCAATTTACTGTGGTGTATTTGGGTTAGGCCTCCAATAATAGCTAATAAAAATATTTATTCAAAAAATTGAAAATCACTTTGGTGCTTAGTGTGTTAAAGGCTCTTGATTCAAACAGAATCAAATCAAAACTTGTCTGGAACTGTCTTGGAATACTAAATGATCTGGCAACCCAAAACAAAGTAAAACTAGCATGGGTACCAGGGCACAAAGGTATCCAAGGAAATGAAAAGGCTGATGAACTCGCTAAAAAGGGATCAGATCTATCATTCACAGGACCCGAACCTGTATTTGGGATAAGCAAAACGTCTTCTCGACAGGCAGTGAACAGGTGGATAAAACACCAAATTCACTGGCACATAATCAGTAACCTCATGCTAAGGAGACCAAACCCACGCATAGCTACTGAGGCACTACAACTTGCAAGGCCTCAGATATCCACCATTGTGGGATTACTAACGGGGCACTGCTTGCTGAAACACCTTCATGTGATGGGATTACACAATGACCCCACTACGTGTAGACTCTGCATGGAAGAGGAAGAAACCTCATACCATGTGATCTTCGAATGCAAAGCTCTTACTAGGCGACGTTTGATCCTTTTAGACCTAGAACCGGAAAAACGCCCCAGGAACACTTGGTAGGGAATTTATTAAAACTAACCAAAGACACAGGATTATTCCAAAGATAGTACCTGAATATGGGGAAATCTGGGGAATACAATAGACCCAAGAGGCCGCAGTGTTCTGGGCCAAACCTAACCGTACCTGTTCAATAACCGACAAAGATAAAGATACAGGGTGTGTCAAAACGATAGATTACGATTTTTTTTTAATCTAATGAAATTTATTTGTTCTCACATCGTCAAACAATTTTAATGGACTTAAATGTTTTTAAAAATGTTTTGACTTTCCATTCATTTTCTACGTTGTATATAGGGTGTGTTAAAATGCCCTGTATGTTACACCACAAATTTAATTAACTAATAATTTAGTTTTTTACTTTTTTTGTTTGGCATGAAGCCTAAACTGACTTTTAAATTTTATTTACAATGGTTCAAATTGTAACGTCGGAGGAATAGATAACCATTCATTAATTCTGACAAATGGGTTACCAAAAATTACATTAGCATTTTACCCTAAATAAGTCCATATTTTTAAAAGCCAATTAGAAAAATGTGAAAAAATTATGTCAATTTTTATGGTCAAACCATCAAAATCTTAAGAAAAAAATTCGTTTGGGAATAGAAACATAATGAAAAAAGTAAAGAAATTAATTTATAAATTGGTGGTTTAACACACAGGATATTTATTATATTTGACAAAATTGAAAATATCGTAACCTCAAGTTTAGACACACCCTGTATGCATCACAGCAAATGAATGAAATATTAAACATTTTTAGGAACGTTCAGTCTATTAAAATTTTAAAACGTTGTGAAAACAACCAAATCTGTAAGGCGTAACTACCTACAGTATGTTTGGTTTAAAAAACTATCTGTTTGGTTTTCCCCTCTTTATAGACTACCATTATTTAAGAATAATTGTAAAATATGGTTTTCCAACTTTTATATTAAATATTTCTTCATATCTCCAATAATAAAATATCTATCGATCAATTACCCACTGATAGGGCACCCTGTATATGTATAATTAAAACACTGTATAAAATGAACCAGTTCTTTTATCACAGCTTGGTCCTTATAAGTTGAAAAATATTCTAATGATAAATACAGTATTAAATGCCACTCTAAAACTGAAATAAAATACAGGGTGTTCCATTTAAAAACACATTTTTACTTTCCAAGCAAATGCGTAACACATTTTTAAATTATATTTTTTTTAAATCCACATAACTTTTATTCAAAACATGTCGATGGCTCAATCAAAAACCGCCACATGTCAAAAAACAAATAAAATTACATTTTTGGTTCAATGGATGCAAAGTATCATTGAGGTTTTATTTTAAATACCACCAAAAACCAAAATATCCTTAAGAGATGCCCGAAAATCATTTAAAATCTAGCCACAACTCAAAACTGTATCTAAAACTGCCTTAATTCAGGTTATTTTCTGCAAAAACATGCAATAACTCAGTTACAGCGCTTTTATAATCGTAATCTTTAATTTTAACAGCAAAATGTCGTAGCTTTTAAATAAAATATAAAGATTTTATATCAAAAACAAAATAATGATAATAGAGACTTACAAGATTTCAAAGTGAAATTTCTCAAAACAATAGTATTTTAGTTGTGGTAGTATTTGATTGAGCCATCGATGTGTCAACACAAATTGAAATATCAAGCAATTATGCACAAATAAGACAGCCAGCCTGTATAGAACTACGACGAGAGTTTACGTCTTTTTTCATCCTTTCAGACTTCCTTGTAAACTACTCTTGACTGGTCCAGCCTTCCCTACAAGATTTTGATATGGTGGCTGCAGCTTCATTGGCTAATTGTACCATCATTTGGATACCCTACATCTTTCGATTTATTAATTTCTCATTTATTTCACTCCCTAGATATGCTTCCGAGAACTTATAGTCTCGGGTCACCCATTCATGAAGTGTTTGACTACCTTGATTGATAAATGAATTTATAGGTACACCGTCAGTCAGCGGCCCGGTAATATACTTTTTTGACATCAGTACTCGACATCCTATAGAGGTCTATATTCCTTTCGTGTTAACTTCTATCCGTATTTATAATCACCCTGTATATATAATATCTATTCCCCAGAATACATTTTTAGATTTTCATTATGTATAACCACCCATGACCTTAATGAACGTCCAAACTTCTAAATGTTCGTATGCCGATGGGCCAGAGCGTGTAGTTGGCATTAAAGCTTGGGCAGCGAAAGTGTTAACCAGTTGCCAAAACCGCTCGAATATGCTATTAAGGGATAATTTTTTTACTATTTTATTTTTATTTGCCACTGGTGAATGGATGTTCCTCCGGACTCCAGGACCCTTTGGCTGGTGACAGTGCTACCTTTTCCCTTAATAGTTAATTGATTACCGTAGTTAAAGACCTATGAATTGTTACACTGGTCCTTAGACTAATTGGTTGTTAAATGGTTCTTTAGACTAATTGGTTGTCACATTTGTTGACAAACGGTGTTTTTTTAGCCTACTTATTATCACAGAGACTCGAGTAAGGCTGCTACCGATACTATTTCTTAAATAGCCATAGAATACTTATTGTTGCATTAATTTATATGAAATAAGTTAGTGATTTATTACATGAATTTTTAAAAAAGTGACGAATTATTTCTAACTTTTCAATAGGAACAAATAATTGTATTATCAACTCCAAACTGAAATATCTGGTATCCTGAACCAAGTAGCAATAAACATCTGACAACTGTGCATCGCCCACAGCACAGTGCATCACGCGTCGGGGGAATAACCGAACGACCGAAATTAATGAGGGGAAACCCATAATACAGGCATTAATATTAAGATTTTAGATATTGAGTAGTTATTTTATTAACATCTGAAAAATCAGTGGATGAAAATAGGGTCCAATTTGGAAAAGTACTAGGAGTAGAACAAGTCGAAAAAAAAACTATTCTAATAGATTCTTAATAAAAGGTTGTCTATGTATTTAATATTTAATCAATTAATGTTTCAGTTTCTTTTGCAAAAATTCCATGTTTTGTAATGTTATGCTTTAAGATTTTTTAAGAAAATACAATACAAAAAACTAAGTTTTTGTTCTAGTAAGTAAATAAAATTTAATTTTTTTTAGTCTAAATTAATTTAAAAGTCGGTCTTATTGATTTCTTTTTAATAAATGCCATATTATCTTATTCTAATCCTGATAATTATAGAGGAATTACTTTAGTGCACTAAAGGTATATGAAAACAAATATTAGATAACCAGTTGGAAGATACCTTAGAAGAGGAAAGAATAGGATCATTTGATCAACATTGAACTACCCCTTTTATCAACTTTTAAAATACTACAGTATGTATCGCAAAAGACTATACCAAAACCCAATCGTTTTTCAATTAGCAACTGAATGTCATAGTAGTCGAGTTATAGAGGTTTAACACATTTGTGTTATGTAGTGGTCCTTACAAATCAAGTATTATAAGATATACTTTACATACATTATTTCAGAAAATTAACTTTAATCAACAGTGATAAAAAATAGGAGGATTCACTATTCATACACACACTACACAATATCATAAATTCACATTAATAAAGTAGGTTTTATTAATTATATTTTCATTTCTTACCATTTCGTCTGCAGCAATTGGTTCCATCGCGAACAGACCCCAATCGTGAATGGCCGATTTGGCGAATTTGAGTTGTTTTTTCCTAAATTTGAGTTGGTTGAATTTCAGTAAATCAGAATCCGTATCGCCACCAAAGGCGGTAAGTAAACGTCGCTGGTTAGATCTTGCTTCCCGAGATAAACCTGTAAAAAATCAGTAAATCAGCTTTCATTTTAGGCATTTAACAACAAGTAGTCTAGGCTCTAAGGCTCACCGACAAAAATGTTGCCAAATAAATATTTAACACCTATATTCTAATTAATCAGGAATAGATAAATGTTAATTAAAATAGGATGTAATTTTATCTCTATAAAATGTAATTATAAAATAAATAATAACGAGTATTAAACTGTCTTTTATAGATTTAATATAAATAATGTATTACTTGGCTTTCCACTTTTTAATTGATATGAAAAAAATTATCATATGGCGACCACAAATCTTGAGTTAAAGTACATACTAATAATAATGTGCTCTATCCACCACGTTTTTTATTTCTTGGTTACTATACTCTGTTTTTAAACTAGGAGGAGCGAATTGAAAAGACGCATTCACACAGGGAAAAGTAACTAGATTTGTTACTAAGAGCGAGTTTCGAAATATAGTCGTGTTCAAAATTTATGAAATAATTATCTTTATCGGCCTTAGTCGGTGAACGGCCAATGAGCGGTTAAGAAACGAATAAATGTCATCAAATCAAATTTATTTGTTTAAATATTAAAGTACATTACCTAATAGTAAAAAAATAGTTATACAGAAAAAAAAATTCTTTAAAGACATCTGATTGAGCATCGAACCTAGGCATTTCTGCCTGTTTTGCTTCTGATCAATCAGATGACTCTATTTATGTACATATTTTTTTTAGAGACAGGTATTAAATTTTACATATAATTATTTATCACTTAACAAAAGATACAATATTTAAAAATTAGAGCAAGGGACGAAGAAATTCGACAGAATAAACCGATAAATAAAAAGATAAATAAACAATAGACAGTACCTTAGGAAAAGTAGACAAAAACTACGATGGTCCTTTTGGCTTTTAATATGTTTTTTATTTATACTATGTTATCATTAGATAGTAAATTTTTTTTTGTTTGTTATTAAATATTTTTTTATTTCAATTTTAAACTTTTTTGTTTTGATTATTTGCCTGAGGTGTATCGGAATTATGTTAAAAAATTTTGGGCCAAAGAATGATAATGACCTTTGACTAAGTGATTTTTTGAAAAATTGTACAGGAATCTCCATATTAGCGACTGAGCGTGTTAAGCGGGTATTTTTTTGAGTAAAATTTTCAGCATTGGTATATATTCTCATTATACATTGATAAGCAAAGAGTAATTTGACGTTTAGTATGTTCGATTCATCGTACAATTTATTTGTAGAAAATAGTCTCTTTTTTTAGGATAATTTTTAAAATAATATTTTGTGTTGTCTCTACAATTTTAATAGTGGTGTTAAATGCTCCACCCCATGCTACTATGCAATACCTTAATATAGATTCCACTAGGGAGTTATAAAGTATCATTATATTTTTCTTTGAAAGAATGTCCCGGAGAACATAAAATTTGTGCATTAGGGCTCTCAGTCTATTACTAACATGGACAATATGCTCAGACCAACGTATGTATTGATCAAGTATTACACCTAGGTATTTAATTTGAGAAACTTTTTCTATCAAGGGGCAGTTACAATCGCTTTTTTGACAGTCACTACTATGCAATTTTATACAAAAGCTGTTAGGTTGATTAACGATGGTTGAACTAAGAGTAATGCATTTTGTTTTCAATACATTTAAAGTTAGTAGATTGTTATTTAACCATAAACTTATCTTTCTTAGGGCCGTTTCTCCAGCGAGTTTAACCTCTTCCCATTCTTTTCCAGCGAAAATAATTACCGTATCATCCGCATAGCATATGATATTCCCAGATAAGTTATTAATTTGTGTAATGTTGTTCATATAAACCAGAAACAGAATTGGGCCCAATACTGTTCCTTGTGGGACCCCCATCTTTACTACTGATTTAGAACTTCCGGCGTTGCCAATTTTTACGCTCTGGGTTCTATTAGATAAATAATCCCTCAGGAGCCTTAATGCTAAACCCCGTATACCATAGTTATTTAGTTTGTCAAGTAAAATGTTATGGGAAACGGTATCAAATGCTTTGGCCAAATCAAGAAATACTGCAGCACATTTTATTGATTCATCTACAGCGTTAACCGTCTTTTCCAAAAAATCAACTACCGCATTTTCAGTGCTTGAGTTTTGTATAAAACCGTATTGACAATCTGTAATAACATTATGATTATGAAAAAAATTAATTAATCTACTTTTTACTGCATTTTCAAAAATTTTAGCGAAGTTGTTGATAACAGAAATTGGCCTATAATTTGTAAGCTCACTAGGGTCTCCGGATTTGTATACAGGTGTGACAATTGATTCCTTCGATTGACTTGGAATTTTTCCTGATTGAAAGCAAATATTAAGGATATGCGTTACAGGAAGAATAATATATTCATTTATATTTTTTATTGTAGTTGCTGTTAATTTATCTGGACCAGGTGCAGAGCTATTTTTTAATTTGCTTATTAAAATAGTTACTTCATTTTTTGTTACGGGTTTAAAGAATATGTTGTTTTCAACTTTATCATTTTTAAGAAAGTTTACTGCTGGTACTACCTTATGTATTTTATTTGCCATATTTTCACCTAAATTTGTAAAAAAAATATTAAACTCTTCGGCTTTTTCTTTGTTATTGTTTATATTATCATTATTTTCTGATTTTATAGATATGTTTTCAATTTGCTTAGTTTTTTTTGTACTACCTGTTATGTCATTAATGATTTTCCATATTTTTTTATAATCGTTTCCGGCTTGTGTAATTTTATTTTGATAATAGTCATTTTTTGTTTTTCTTATTAAGGAATGAAGTTTGTTTCTGTAAGTAATTTTCTAATTGGTCCCAGACAACGGTCGCAAATTTCACATTATTGTGATCTGAAATGTGTGTCTAAAACGAAATGTCACTGTCAAATTAAAGTCAATATGGTTGTTGATTGATGACAGAAATACTTTTTTCTTGCTTTTGAAATCGACTTTTTGAAAATAACTATGATCTTTTTAAAATGGATAATAAATATTTAAGAAAATTGTTAATGTAATATCCAGATGTAGCCAGGTTAGTATAAAATATAAGATCTGTTTACATTTTTAAGGATATATTTGTTATAGGTATAAAAAGTAAAAGTTAATCAGTGAATGACAAATAGATCACACAGTAACTGGTATCTCTTCTATGAGTAATGTGGATATTATGGCTTATTTAGTGTCAACCCATGGTTAATGCGCTAGAGGGCAAATAAAGGCATTCAAAAGTTTACAGGCCTATGAGTCAGAATTTGTTTTGAAAACTGGAACCAACATTTTCATAACACTACATGTCAACATATATTTTTTAAAATGAACTATTCATACATACCTATGTATTAATTTTAAGTATTTTTAAAATATTTTTTGTGAAAATAATGTTAACTCATAGTGCCAAATTAAGATTATCCCTAAAGTAGTAGATGTTGTTTTAAATGTTATAACAATTTTGTAAATAGTTTTATTCTATTCTAATAAATAAAATTTGCTTGAATATTTAGTTACATTTTAATCATTTTGGTTAGAAATTCATCAATTTTTAGTTTTAAAAAATCATGTGTGAAACTGACTGTAATTTGACCAATCAGAAGGCTACATAATTGCCAACTCAAATTCAAATCACTCCTCTTAGTTTAAAAACAGAGTATAGTTTAATTTAAACGGGTAGGTAATAAAAATATGCAATTCAAATAATCCATTTCTCCCGTTTTTGAAAGTTTTTTGTTTTGTTTTAATACTCATTATTGCTTCATTCTCTCGACAGAACTTTTGGTCGAAAAAAAGAAAAAATAAATAAACAAAATGCATATTTTTAGACTTCAATTAAAAAAAACTCCACCAAAACTTTCCTCTGGTTTTCCCTTAATTACTAGACTAAATTCGAACATTAAAAACATCAGCAAAGAAAAACTAAAAAATAATAAAGTATTGTGGTAACTCAACTTGCTAAATCACCATTTTATTTAATATTCAAATTGTTTTATTAATTTGTTTAAAATAAAACGTTTTCCCCCCGTTGTTATTATATAAAACAATTATTAAAATTACACCTATTTGACAAAGAATGAATGAGCTCTTTAAATTTAAAAGAATCCACATACAGAACTACTGAAACGGATGATTATCCATAGATACCCTTGAGTAGAAGCAGTTAAAATGGAGATTACTAAAACTTTTAAGTTTCAAACAAGAATGAGTTTATCCTCCTATAAGTACACCTCATCGTGATCAGTCTTGATACATTGATATTAATTCAAGTTACACTTTTTGAGCGTGGTGACCGATAAGAAAACAATTTTTTTTCTTTTATTGAATAAATGAGAAGTTAATATTGTTTAAAATATTTTTATTGTCTTACAATACATGTAGGTTATTCAGGAATTTTTATCATTGAAACTATAGGTTTATGGTAACTGAAATAAGAAACATAAGTTTGAGACTTGATATCCTCTAAATAGCTGGAAAATACCGCGTCAATGGTGATCCCATATTTTGTTGTGGATTCTTGTGGATCATTATTCATTTTCAAATTCAATTTTTCCGAAATTGTGTCTAGAGAGATAGAATCAGTTATGAGCAGTTAGCAGCTAGTCTACATGCATACGTCTAGTCGTACGCACACAAACACCGTGCTGCCGAACTGAAACGACGTTAGACGATGCACGGCTTTCAACGCCGCATCGCTGGGCGTGTCAGAGTAGGGGGTGTTAGGTTTATTTTCGTTAAGGAATTTCTTTTTTGATTTTTCGGTTTTTCAATTTTTCGATTTTTCGAATTTTTTTTCAATTTTTCGATTCTTAGAATTTTCGATTTTTCGATTTTCTTTTATTGAATAAATTAATATTGTTTAACGCCGCACCGCTGTGCCGGTCGGAGTGGGGGGTTCAGGTTTTTTTTTTTTTTTTTCGTTACGGTCGTTTCGGAATTTCTTGATTCGGTCGCCGCACTCAAAGCCCGCAATAGCTTAAAAATAAAAACTGTTGTACTGACCGAGAAAATGAATATTGAAGAATGAAAGACAAAAATTTGGACATTTGGATCATAGTTCATAAAACAAACTATCACTTAAATATTCGCATATCATTAAGGAACACCTTATATACAGGGTAGCTGTTAAAGATGGAACCAAACCTATAGTGCTTAAACGGTTTAACATACAAAACCTAAAATTTCAGAATTTCAACTAAATACATTTGCTCATATTTTAGCACAAAAATTATTTTTTTTATAATTACAAAATTTTAAGCATGGCCGCCATCTTGATTTTTTAAAATAATATCCTTTCTGTTGTGGTTAAACCCCATGTGTGATACATTTTTGTAATCAGGGAGTTAAACCCTTTCAAATGGTATATCACATGACCTATGTTCCAACCGGGTATTTAATGTATGGAACAACCTCAGCGACGAAGTTGTTGGTGCCATAACAGTTAACGTTTTTAAAAATAAGTTAGACGAGTGTTTGTTTAATTAACATTTTTATTCAATTTTTAGTGTTCTTATCTATTTGTTTCAGTGTGTTTACTTTGTTAGAATTTTTTATTTTGTTTTTAGGCTATCATAGGACTTGTGTCCTCATCCTTTATCAATGTATAATAATAATATTAATAAAAACTTGTTCAGAAAGGTGTCGGCTTGAATAAGGTTCATTAGCTTCAACAAAAGCACAGACATCTATTTCTTTATTTTTACGAACTTCATTAACAGTCTTCGCACGTGGTTCATTAAATTTTTTTGCAATTCTGAATGTATCCACATTTTTCAAATTTTTTAACAATTCGAAAAATGGTGGAATGAGATGGAATTGGTCCATTTTCAAATGCAGCGATAAATAAATTAATAGTGTCATCTATTGAGTTGCCTCTAAAATACCATTTTATAATTTGAATACTTTCTTCCAATGTGTATATTTTAATTTTTTTTATTTTCAAACGCTATGGTCTTGAAAATTGTGACCGTACGCTACGACAGTTCACAACCTAATAATTCGCCACGAGCACGAGCTACCTTCTCCCTTCTCTTGCATCATCAAATAGTGGGATACGGTAGCACAGTGAAATACTTAATGCAATTGCTGATGTAGGATTATGATTTGGATATTATAATACTTGTTTAATAATTATTTCTTGACCATAAATACATGCGATTGTCCGGTTCCGCCGGTAACAATTTAAAATTACTTATTCTATGAAACGACACTGGCAGGTAAACATTACCGCGAAATTCTCAAAGCCGTCCGACGTGGTTTGACGTTTATCCCCTCTGTAGCTGCCAAAAACCTTTCCAACTTCTGCCCCTGCTATAGCAAGTTGGCCAATATTACTGGATTACTTTTGCTTACAAAATTACTTTGCTAATTTTAATATTTTTTTTTGCACAAAATACAAGTTTTTCTTTGCTGATCTTATAAGTTACGAAACGATAACCTCACTTGGTTCCTTTTAATTAAAAAAACCTGTTTTCTTACCTTGATTTTTAGCTGCAGAAGCATTCGCCATAGTAATAGCATGCGCTTTGGCGTGGTGATATTTGTACCTAGACTTTTCGTGCGCCGATAATTTGTAATAACCTTCGGTCCTAGCGCTACCGCTGGCGTGCAGCCGTTCATCTTTTTTCCGTTTTTTCGGAGGACTAGAATAGAGATCCGTTAAACAGTGATCGACCCAATGAGTGTCGTTCAACCAATAGCCCATGGTGTCGTTCGAGAGCATTTCCTCGTAGGATTTTTTTATGTACTCTATGTCTTCTTTGTCTATTCCTGCGTTTGTGAGAAACAAAACGGCATTACAGGAGTATTTTTTAACACTAACGGAATTACGAGAAACAATACATGTTATATAGTGAGTACTAAAGGTACGTTTACATCTGACACTTATTGCATGATATTTATGTCTGACAGTTGTTTAGTGCAGTATAAACACACAAAAATTTCTCTTGGAGATATATTTTTGAGTGTTTACACTGGACTAAACAACTGTCGGACATAAATCTCATGCAATAAATGTCAGATGTAAACGTACCTTTAGATTAGTTCAAATGTATCTCAGATTGAAAATCCCAAAAAATTTATAAACAATTACGATTTTAATTCAATCTGATTCATTAAAAATATTATTCCCTGCTGAGATTTCAAATTCATTTAAAGAAAATACTGATTTTGACTTACCCTTTGTTAGGAACTCATAAAGTACAGCAAACTCGGACCTCTGGTCTCGAACTTTATGCAAAATCCCGCTGTGCATATTATAAGGTTCCTGAGACTTCTTCCAACTAAATTGATTTTCGTAATGGAGTTTGTTCTGCAGTTCCTGCAATTTCTTGTGCTCCTTTTGCTTCCTGGGTTTGACCTGTTTGGGTGGTTTTTCTTTTTTGACTTTCTCCACCCGCTGGTCTTTTTGAAGGTATTCATGATCCTTGAGAGCAGTGTTAAAGGTATCTTGTTGCACTTGGGGTTGTTGATCGATGTTTTCTTTTTCTGGACGTGGCATACAGTACGAGTGTTCATTAACCACCTTAAAAACAGAATAGAAGAATAGAATAAAAGAGGAGAAAATATGTTAGTTTATGGACTGGAAGAACAAACGCCTCGGAAATAAACCTACCTGACTATTTGGACTACTTCCTCCCGTTGAACTTTCTGACATTCTTTTAACTACAACCACATCACCGTTCAAGTCTTGCCTCTTCTTTGTTTTCTTTTTCTTCCTTGTTTCTAACGTTTCTTCATCAGAATCGCTCTTGATTAACTTTTCTTTCACATCTTCTAATCTCTCTTTAGTAATCTGCGTAACATCCACGATTGTTGGAGGTTCAGGATTACGCACTTGCTGAAGAAGAGCGTCGCGTTCTGCTTCAAGTTCCTCCAGGGATTTGTCCATTACATCCTAAAATAGTAAATTAAACAAGATCCTACCGACTGCGCCAATAAATTATTTTACCTCAACGTCCGCTTCAGTTTTGATCATAGATTCTTCAGTGATCGTTTTCTTCCTGTCTTGATCTTCCTTCACTACTTTCACCTCTCGCGCCAACCGCTCCTGTTTCTCTCTTTCAATTTGTTCCATATACTCGGTGTTTAACCGTCTCCTTTCGAAAATTAGTCTTTCAGTATCGCTCATATCACTATCGCTATCATATTGTAAACTAGAGAGGTTTTGTGGTTTTTGGGGTTGTTTAGGAGCTGCCAGGTCGTCGGAATCGATCTGAAACAAACAAATAGAAATATTGGACAACGAAAAAGAAAAAAAAATAGACTGTGAATTTGTTTGAGAAAAAAATTACCTGCATAGGTTCAGGGGTCTTATTTCTCGCTTCAATGCCATCTCTAAGAGGCGAATTGCTCTCCTCCATTGATTCTATAGATTCGCTAACAGTATGTGGTTCTTCCTTCTCGCAAATTTCTTCTACCGGCGGAGGAGTCTTTTCCGCCACCGCTGGCGGCGTTAGGCTTCTGTTGATTAGCTTAACTTCCGTTTCTGTTTCAGATTCCGTAGAACTTTCATCAGAACTGTCGCTATCGCTCGAAGATGTGAATGAGCTGGATGAACTGCTCATGCTGCTTATTGAAGTCTTTCGTTCCCTCCTAGCTGACCTATAATACAAATGTTATTTTAAATAGACTAAAGACGAAAGTTATAGACAAGAGGTTAGGAGAAACAATTACCTGTTAACGTCAGAATCAGAATCATGAATAATTTCTTCACTATCGGAAATTTTTTGACCGTCCTCATCTTCAGGTACAGGTGATGGAATCTTTTTCCGCCTAAAACTGGGCATCTTGGGTAAAGACGCCTTAAGACCGAGACCCACGCCCAAGGGTGAATCCAGGTTGATGTTGCTGTACAGGTTCTCTCGATTTGATTCCAAAAGAATGTTAATGTTGTCTTTGGATATGCTCTGTTTATCTACCAAAAGTTCCTCTTTATCTTTGACTTTGTTTTCTTTGGAGCTTTCCTCTTCCCACCTAAAAGTCAAAACGTAGAAAATGTTTTACACGTTGACATAGAATTTAGAATTCCAATGGATTTTTTACTCACCAGGATTCAAACTTATTAAAAGCCGTTGACTCGACCATCTTCTTGTTGAAATCCCTCTTGAGTATATTCTTCAACTCCTGGGTAACTTGTTGTATCACAGAGTTGATGGTAGTGGCGTGGGGGTCGTCCTTATTATTTTCGGGTTTCTTGGGTGGCATTTGGTATGGGTTGAATTGTTGTGAAGGGTGGAGTTGGGGAAATTGAGGGAAATGTGGTATGTGGGGCAAGAACACTTGGTGGCCATAGGGGTATGCTTGTCGCCAGTCTTGATGACCGTAAGGAGGCGGGGGGAAATGTTGAGGTGGGAAAGGTGTTGCATAGTGAGGTCCTGGGAATCCTGAAATGTTTGCAATTGTTAAAAATATTTATCTATTTAAAAAGTATGGTTCAATTTTCTGATTTCATTGGCGTAATTGATACTGTGAAATATTTCACGGGCATGCAATAAATGATTTAAGTTTTTATTAATTATTTTTTAATTAAGTGCCGATCTTTTCATCTCTGAGTAAAGTTACATGTAGGTTTACTTGACAGATTAACGTACAATACCCTATAGTTTAATCAGCAAGTAGTTACTTTTAACTTTGCTCAGAGGTGAAAAGATTGGCCCTAAGTAAAAAAATACAATTAAAATAATACAATAATATAGAAAAAAAAAGCAAATGAAATAATAAAATAGGACTAATTAAAAAAATTACCTCTTAAGGCCAGTATAGCTGCTTGCAAGAAATAAAAAAGTGGTTATTTTAAACACATACCCTAAGGTCATGGGCGCCGTTCAAAAAAGTTCCAGGGGGCTAGTTTTATAGGCAGGGTCCAAACGCCGCAGGCTAAAGTCAAAAGCCACAGCGAAAAAAATAAAAATTACAAATCCAGGAGGGCAGACGATCCCCCTGGCCCTCGTGTAGTGGCGCCCATGCCAAAGGTTAATAACAATAAAGATTGTCGTTTTTTTACAAAAAATCTAAATAATTAAATGAAAAAACTGATTTAGTTTTCAATTTTAACAATTTATTCAAAGAAAATATTAATATTTATAAAAAATAACTCCATTAAGGTAGTTCACTCGCGACAGTCGTACACAAAAATATCGCCTAATGGCGAATACCAAAAGTTCGAGATTATCAATGCTAAAAAATGTTATTTTTGTAAGAGACTGTACACAACACATGTTATGTTGATAATGGGGTGTTAATACACTGCGACCTAAAAGATCTATTGTGCCCCCTTCTGTCGCCACTGCACTAAGGAAATGTCTCAATGCCTATAGCGACCCTTCCAATCCTATTTTCTCAAGGAAGTGAAGGATTTGAAGTGGCTTCAAGTTAGGTAAGTCTCCCTCTTCTATTTGATATCCTCCTAGATACAACACATGTAAGCTTATAATATATAAGTAAAAGCCATCCGACAACATCGCAAATATATGAATGATGGGCTATCGAGTAAGTATGTATACCTATAAAAAATTGTGACTTCCTCATACTAATTTTAAGGGTTTGTTTTGGTTCAAACAGAACTGTCGATTCCAATTCTCAAATACAGTGGACGAATTAATTTTTCAAGAACACGTCTTAGCTGATCGAGTGTATTTCAGTGATTCTAAACTAATTTCTGAAAGAACCAAAATAAGTCTAAAGTAATCTAACAAACATTTGAGTTACTGCTCGTTAAGTGTAGAGATTACAATGTTGTCAAGTTGTAATCATTGTACCCCACTACGCGCCGACTGCTTTAAACATATTTTTACTTTAAAAATCTATCTTTTTACCAAAACAGTCAAAAATTTCAGTGTTTTTTTTTTAAATTATAACTTCTTGATTTACATTATATTAGTTTTTAAAAAATATAGTAAGAACCGTTTTCGCGATATCTTGAAATAAATGCATTGCTTCTCTACATAACAGATTTCAAGAGTGTTAATTACGCACATTTTGATTATTATTTCGTTTCAAACGGTAAAAAATTTTTTTTTGTTACATAAAAGACACTTTCATTAACCTTATATTTAATTTTATTGAATTCTTAATAAAATCCGTTTTACGAGTGAATTACCTTAAGCTTAATTTGTTAACTATTTTTTAAATAAACAACATATAACTATTTTTTTTATCTTGTAGAATATTTATTTCAATATGCATTAACCTACACAGAACAAGAGCCTGATAACCTTAGTAGTTGATGCCGTTGACATCGAATTAAAAAAAAATGCATTAAAAGTATATTTAAGACTCACAAATTCCACAATTAAACAAAAAAATACCATTTTCCTATTTTTGAATTAAAAAACATCTTTACCTGTTGTTCCTATCAGAGCTGCTTGAAAGGAAACAAAAATAAAAATATTATAAGCATTTGATTAAAAAGCACATTCAGATTTTTTTTGTCTGTACGAGTCACTTTGTAAATAATCACAGCAATATATTTTTTATCTAGAATACCTTTACGAAATTACATTTCTCTCAGTTTCCTTACGTTAAAAGTTATTTTTCACATATTTTTCTCATACTTCCAAATTTACCTGATTTCATCCTACATACTAAGGTTGAAGAATGAATCATATTTCATATATATCTGAAGAGCTGATCAATCATGAATTTTCTTATTATCTTTATGAACGATCAGTGTAGAATAAAACAAAGTTGATTTGAAAACACAAATTTTATTCACTGTAAACTAGAAACTATTGTGATTACATTGTACTTGAGATATACAGCTTTAATTTTCTATTTATCTTAGAAGATTTGTGGTTAATACATGCTGCTCTACTGAATTTGTAAAAACAAGAAAGTCAGAAAGCAGACTTTCAGTTGTTACGAAAAAATGTTCGATGTTACGTGAATGCTCTATGAGATGTGAATGCCGATAAATGCAAAAGTTATAACATCACAGACTATGGCGCAATGGATTAGCTTCTGTGATGCTTTTCAAATTTGATTGGATAGTGCGTTTAACTGTATAAATTTCTTCATTGCAACGTCATAGCGAGATGCACTGTGATAATAGAGAGACGAATAATGGTACTATTGTTTCTTATTCACACCAGATTTGAATATGTAGTCAAATGTTTTCACCTCAAGTTATATTTGGACCTTGCAGTTCTGTTATAAATTTTCGTCGCACTTTTAAAGGTGGTAAAAATTAACAAAATTTGAATTCTTGGTATGCGACCAGCTTGCTTTGTTAATGTTTAAATACAGACGAAGGTGTATTTAAATATAGACCAATGATTTGAAAGTTGTATAATTTGTCAAAAACAATTTATGGAAAATAATTTATTATAAAATATACTCACCAGCATAAGGTGGTGGGATGCCTGTCGAAAAATGAGGTGGCGGGTAGATCCCAGGTACAGGCGGTAAAGGGGGTGGCGCAGCGGTGGGGGGATTTGGTGGTAACGGTGGCGGTTCCGGTTTAGATTCTTCGATTTTTTCATTACTGCTTAGCGACGACAAGCTCATCTGATCGTCGTCCTTTAAGAAATAGAACTGAAGTAAAAAACAAGATTAATTAGTAAATGTATTAAGAGCAAAAACAGTTTGACCAACTATCTACAGAAAAAGAAAGAAAAATAAAATAAATACAACTAATAGTTTTACAGTACAGTACGACAGATGTAGCAGACGCTGACAAGGTCATGTTATGCGCATTGAATATAAAAGCATGTGATCACTTGGATCTGAATACATTAGACTCAAAGTTGTGAATTTTCAGACGTTGTCAAATGAAAGAGTTTCAAGTGCACAAGCTTGTCAAATTATACGTTTTGTTTTAAAACTGGTAAGAAAAAAATGTAATAGAATATAGTAAAACAGCAATACATAAGTTAAAAAGAATAACATGAAAAAAAAAAATTATCAAAAAGAGATAAACAAGGAATTTCAAAGAATAGAAAATACTGGAACTCAGAAGATGGACGGCTTTCAAAGAAGTATTGACGATAACAGAGAGGATATGTGGAAAAAATTAAATTTAAAAAACATCTAATAATTGTGGTGGATAAAAAAATAAAAACTTTAGTAAAAGAAAATAAAACAGGGTGAAAAAAACAATCACTGTAGGGAAAAGATTAGTATAACAGGAAGATAAATTTAATGAAAGGAAGCATAATAATGAAAAAAAAAGAAAGGTGGAAAGATTCTGGTAAAGAGAAAACACAAGCACATAAACTCGACCAGAAAAATTTTTGGAGACAAATAAAAAACCTGAGGATATAAAAAGAAATTAAATCAGTGACAGACAAACGCAAACGATTACATACTGATACAAAAGAAATACTAGAAATGTGGAAAGAACACTATACAGATAAATTTAACGCGAAATATCCTGAAAATACAAAAATTAAACAGGGAAGATGAACTAGAACAACAAGCAGAAATAGATAGAAGGCAAGTGGCGAAAGAGGGGATAGCTCTGAATATGCTTAAATGGTGGATAAAGAGTGGATATGGGCTATATGCAATAAAGAATTGCAAAAACACCTATACCTATATTCAAAACGGGAAGACAAACAAAGCGAAAACTACAGGGCTATACGAGCCCTAACCACTATATGTTCGTCCTTCTCATAATTTTATTTCCGTTATATATTAGGAAACTTAAGGTTGAAGAAGAACATCTATTTTTTAAAAATTACTTAAATTTAATAGTTGTTGATGTTTCTATTTGTGACAGCATGATGCACCATGATCTTAATTTTATTAAAAAACAGTATCTAATCGAAAGATAAGTGACCATTTAAATGTTCGAACAATATCCTCCACAATTATTAAATTTAATGTTTGGGAGACTTTGGAATTTCTGACGTTTAGAATTTTTTACATGTTTGACGCACATAATAAACACTAACTTATTTTGTTGGCTTTGGAATTTTTGACGTTTAGAATTATTACGTGTTTGACGCACATAATGAAATAATAACTTATTTTGTGGTTTGACGTTTTAAGTTGTTGAAAGTGTGACGGTATCTTTGGGACAGTTTCTAATGTAATTTTCTTTATTCGTTATTGAAAATGGGTCGCGGTAAAGCAACTCCAAAAAAAATTAGGGATTTGATCATAAACAAATATAAACATAAGTTTCTTAATAAATATCTAAAGTAAAATTATGAGAAGGCCAAACATATAGTGGTTAGGGCTCGTACGTTTGGCCCAAACCAGCTTCAAACTATACACTAGAATCCTAGAACACTCCAGACCAGAAATTATATGAAGAACAGGCAGCATTTAGACCAGAAACGATAACATATACATATTAAGAAACTTGATAGAGATAAAAATTGATTAAAGAAGAAATGTTTCTGACTTTTATAGTCCTAAAAGCAGCATTCAACCCAGTTGATAGAACAATAATATGAAAAAGCCTGGAGGAAATAAACGCAATGCTGGGAAACAGTAACAAAACCTACACAGAACACGAGGCTAATAATCTTAGCAGTTGAAACCGACGACACAAAAAGAAGCACACACGAGACAATAAGACCAAAACTACAAATAGAAGGACAAAGGTGGGAGGAATTAAATAAAAAAAAAAGGATCAAACATGGAGACAGTTCGAGTCCATTAATGTCCATTAATAATTACTATGGAAAAAATGGTGAAACGAATAAAAGAGAAAGGGGCGATATTAAATACAGTAATTGGATACAGAAACCTACAACATGTAAGATTGAGTAGTCTTTTATATGCAGATGATATAGTATTAATCTCAAATACAAAAAAAATGCAAAAACTAATGAACCTATGGACTAGAGGAATAGAAGAGATGAAAATTGAGGTATATATAAACAAAACGAAACTGAGTAAATAATCGGCAAATAAATAACCAAAATAACAAGGATATTAAATGCAAAAACACAATAATAGAAAGAGTAACAACCTTTGAATATTTGGGAAGTATACTAACAGAACAAACAAACAGAGTCAACAAATCAACCAAAATATACTAAAACTATTACTCTATGCTATGCTATTCACTAAACAAAACAATACTGGAACATACAGATATCAAAACAGAGATAAAAATGAAAATCCACAACATAATTGTTATTATCATTAACATATGCCTACGAAAATTGGGTAATACACAAGAGAAAGTTGAAATAAAAAGTAATGCTGTAAATGAAAGACCAAATAGGATAGGATAACAAGAACCAATAATGGGAAAATTAAACAACAAAACTGGTATAAACACTACTCATTAAAAATGAAGCCACACAGAATAACAAGAATAGTTTTAGAATTAGAAAAATCAGCTAAGAAACAAAGAGGCACACAGAGAAGAAAATGGATAGACCAAATTAAAGAAAAGACAATAGAAGAAATGAAAATCTTGGAAAGAAACAGAAAAGCCTGGAAAAGAGGACCAGGAATCATTCACCTGAAAAGGCAGAAGGAACCCGAGAAAAAGAAGTTTTGAAATGTACGCGGGAGGAAGCAAATGGAAATAAACTTCTTATCGAATTTCATAAAGTACAAGAACGAGTAGCTGCGTTGAAAGGTAGGGCAAATACAACAATTTAAAACCACTTGTGTCAGTTCCCAGTTTTATAGAAACTTATCTTTCTATAGTAACTTCTTGATATAAGTAACTGTAGCATTATAATTTAATAGTACAATTTCTTTAATAATACTATAATTCTTTTTTGGGTCATACTTACTTACAGAATGACCCACCGCAAAATTAAATCAAATAAAGTTTTACTAATTAGATTATATTCGGAGTTGGACGTTGTTTGTCCTTGTCCACCACGTTCTTTTCAGATCTATTATGGAACTCAGTTTGTTTTAGAGTATGTCGTCTAGCTTGGTCTTTTTTATTAGACTTAGTATCTTTGACAGTGGCTCCCGCATGTAGTTGCATGCGTTTGGCTTTTCTTCGCCCAATATTAGAAACCTCATTCCAGCCAGGCCTTCACATTGGCACAGGACGTGGAATGATGTTTCCTCTTCTTCTTCACAGAACCTACACAAAGTTGCTTCTTCTGCTGGATTGATGACATTCATGTGCCTTTTAAGGCGACAGTGTCCAGTAAGAAGACCTACTGTTATCCTAACGATTTGACGCTTTTGATCCAATAGGTCTTTCGGCTAATGGTTCCTTGATGAACTGTTTGACCTGTCTCAGTCTTGGATAGTCGTTCCACCATTCTCGAGACTCTTTTTGCATTCGTTGTTTGATGGATGCCTTGCACAATGCCTTAGCAACTCCACAGGAGGGTTCTGGGCCTGTCATGGCCTTATCTGAGCCTTCTTGGGCTAATTCGCCGGCCTTTTCATTGCCCTGATATCCTTCATGGCCTAGCACCTAGGCTAGTGTCACCTTGTTTTGACTACTTAGCTCTGCCAGGTATTCTAGATAGTTTTTCACCAGTCGTGATTTGATTTCTGGTGAGAGAATTGCCTTTAGAGCTGCTTGGCTATCAGAGTATTTGGCAATAGTTTTGCACAGTGTTGTATGGCTAGTAGTTCAGCCTGGAACACTGTTGCATATTTTCCTAAACTCAGTGAAATTGTTTTTTTCGACTTGGGTTCATAGATTCCAGCACCAGCTTCTTCCTTAGTTTTTGAACGTTCTGTGTGCCAGACGAGTTCAGCCTGTACGGGAGGTCCCTGTTTCCAGGATTCTCAGGCTGGTATTTGAATTTGAACATTTCTTTCAAATTTGTATGTGGTTATGGCTCTATCAGTAGGCATAGCTAGAATATTATCCCTTTTTACTTGCTGATATAGCCTTGTGTGGTCGGCGCTATGTAGTTGGCTTATTGTTTTTTTTTTACTAATTAAGTCAAATGCTGAATTTGCCAAACTTGCTATTGCCTATATTTACTTTTCTTATCATGTACATTACATTGTCTGATTTTTTTTGTAACTTTTATTTCAGTCTGTTGCCAATTTTTATGCTGTTCATTTGAAAAGGGTAATTTATAGTATTGAAAATAAAAATAATAATTATTATTAAAAAAAAAAAAAACGTACTTTGAGTTACTAAAAGATTATTCATTTTAACTTCAACAAGGTAAGTACAATAAATATAATATAAATCATTAATTATGTATTCATTTTACTATTTCAATATTGTACGAAACAAGTGTTTAATACTAATAAATTTGTCAAGGTGACATGAATCGTTATATACATCATGTCTCAAGTCGGCGAATGTAGCAGCTTTTGCTATTCCTGTCGATTTGTACTTAAGGACATCCATAAAAAAATAATTGAATAATTCTAAAATATAATAATGCTATTTTTTGGGATTACTAGTTGTTTTGGAAATTCCTTAAAAAAAAATAACAAAAAATTTGGGTAAAAATCTTCTTACAATTAAAAGTTCATGCTAAACTTTGTAACAAATACAAAAAACATTGCAATGTAAAAAGTGACAAAATTAAGAATACAAAAATAAGTAAACTCAATTATGAATGTTAAAGAACACATTAAAATGTTTTCATTTTATAATACAAAAATAAGTAAAC